TTTTTGGGGTTGGTTGTGTTTTGGGGACCGTCTTCGAGCAGCAGTTGCATCGTGTCTTTGAGCTTCGGAGCAGCTCCGTTAGCCCGAGGTGTTAAGTGGGCTGTTCATTCATGCGTTTTTTGACCGAGTCGCATTGCAGATGGTATCTGAAATGGAAATTCATGCAACATTTATCTCCTCCAGTGGTGACTTTGGGGGAAGCTTGTAACGTGAGCGTGGAGAGCAGCATCTCCTGCCCGTCACGGGGGAGCTACACGTGAACGATGGGGTTCTTGGGCGTTACCTTGAGCCTTGTCACACCCAGAAATGAGGATGCTGTGATGGTGGAGGCTGCCTTCTCTTTTTGCTGCACAATGGAGTGGAATAGAGACCCAAGGAGATGGATTTCTGCTGAAGGATCCTACACAAGAACTGGAAGGACACGACTCTTAGCAGCGTCTTGAAGAAATGTTGGTGCATCTGGGGGAGAACAAAACTGTCTCTGCTATCAAAAGTGATTTGGACTTCGCTTCTGCTTTCCGCAACCTCCTTCCTGCAAACCTCCTCCAAATCGAGTTTCCATTGGGTTAAGATGGATGAAGGGCTTCTCTCGGTGCTCCCCTGGGTCATTTGGATGGGAGCAGTGCAAGATAAGAGTGAACACCCTCATCTTCACCTGCCTTTTTGGATAAAAATACCACAGTGGGATATTCCTGTCCTAGGGGTATCCTGTGCAACGTACGCTTCAAAAGCATCTGCTCCATTGTGCTGAAAATGAGATGTTCCAGCCTTTGCTGCTCCTCCTGTAGAGCCAGCAGAATGCTGTTTGTACTTGTAAATTTGCCTTTTATCTTCTAAAAATGAGATTCGCAGCTGTGTCCTTCTGTCACCTTGCTCAGCCTTCAGTTACAGGCTGGGATCCGGGAACTTCGTCCCAAGTTCATGGCTCTCCCTGCCCGCGGGTGGCTTTCTGAAGCGGAGACTTTGCCTTTTTACAAGTTACAGTGGAGGTGGAGATTGAAGGGTTAAGGTGCTAACACGTGCGGCTTCATAGTTGTGTGTGTGTAACGATGTTGTAGTGACTGTGTGTGTTGATAACTGGAGAGTACGGCCCCTTCCAGAAGAGAAAGGACCAGAGCAGGTCCCAGATGTGACGACTCCCTTGAAATCCGGTGGCTGCTTGCACCTTGTTGCCTGTCCTTACCCCAGGGATGGGTTGGAGTCTCACTGCAGACCCCATGGCTATGTTAAGGATGTCATATACGCCTTTGGGAACGCAGCTTGGTGCAGTATCCGCAGTAGGAAATGGTGAAGAGTGCCTGGTTATGGAGTAGGCAGCAGTGCAGAGCGTGAGGTCAAGAGGAGACGCAGGGGATGCCGTCACCCGCAATTAACAGCGCGGAGATGCGATGCCGTGTGCCGAAAGCGCCTGGGATGGTCAGAAATAGGAACGGGGAGAGCAGGAGCGGGCTCTGAAGGGTTTGTGGAAGGAGCAGCCGTGTGTTAACGAGAGCAGCACTGGAGCAGAAGGACCCGCATGGCCAAGAAGCACTTGCTGGAGCAGATGGCACCCGGGACAGGGACAGGGACAGGGACAGCAGCGCCCTGAGCCACCCAGGAACGCAGGGGATGGGACGGGACGGTGGGAACCGCTCGGCAGTGGATGCGATGTGTAACCTCCCTGCCCCAGCACCTGATGGGGCCGTATCAGAAATGCTCTCAAAAACATGGTTGTGTGCTGTGAGAACCGGCCTCACGTTGGGTTTTCAGCCCGAATTTCACCCGCGGGTGCCTCCGTAGCTGTTGAGGTGAGAGCTGTGGTGGTTGTTAGCCATGCTGTGGTGCTTCTGGGTACGGAGCAGAGTTTTGGGAGAGGGAGGAAAGAGAAGCGCAGCTGCTGTGGTCTGGTTTGTGCTTGTGTTGGTGCTTGCTCCAATTACTGCTTTGATTTGCTTACGCATCGTGGTGCAGGCAGCGATAAGGTTGACCCTGCACAACTTCTGCAGGTTGTATCTTCTCGTAAACCCAAATGAGCTGAGGACAGGCATTTCCTTCGCCTATCCCCCCAAACAAATTCAGGTTGTCCTCCCCAGTTCTGGCTTCTCATCTCCATGGCTGTGGTGTTACAGAGACCGTGGTGTGGTACAGATAGATCGGTTCAGGTCCAATCTTTCAGGTATAGAATGGCTCAGAAAGGGTGCTAGCATCAGGCCAAGGGTTTATTCTGTGTTTTGATGACAGAAGATGAGAGAGATGTAAAAATCATGGCATTACTGTGCATTTTCAGTGGATGATCGGAGAGTGGTTCAGGAGCTGGAATTTTCCTTCAAAGAAAAGCAAATGGGGAATAGGATTTTAGTTCTTCTGCTGCGCTTTGGTGGTTGTGAGTCCCTTTAGGAGGAGCGTGGCTTTGCTAAGGTCACCTTTCCACCGCTCCCTCCGTCCTGACACAGTTCTGTGCTCGCTGGCAGGGCTGGATGGGGCCCAGCATCCTCACAGGGGAGCTGAGGTTTGAGAGGAGGCCTCTGTGCCGCAGCCAGCGCCTTGGAAAAGGGCCCCCTTAATAACAGGGGGGAGCAATGCCCCCTCCTGGGGTGGGGGACAGGGCTACCTCGCTGCAAAACAGCAAGACCTTTTAGGAGAGATGGCAAGCGAGAGCGGGATGTGCAAGGCTGCAGGCAGAGGGGCTGTAGGCAAATAGTGTGGGTAACTTTAATACTGTTTTAAAGCCGGGTAAGCTGGTAGTCGTCACTACTGCTTGTGCTGCACGCAGGAGGATTGGGTACGGCAGCAGCGAAGTGAGGAGAAGCCTCATTTCGTCCTCCTTTTGGATGCCTGTATTTTCCACGGGGTTCTTCAGTCTCTTTGAACCCAAAGCCGTCTTAATTGTGAGTTGAGGTTTATCTTGCGGAGTTCCAAAAGCGAGACCGCGCGCGCACCAAAATTACGCCGCTGTGGCTGCTTTGCCGTTGCCAAAATGAGCTCTCCAGTTCCACCCAGCTCTCTACCTGCCCCCTTTATTCCACGGTAACTTCCCCGTGGAGCTGTTTTGACTGCGTTTTCCACCCCCCCCGCCCCCCAAACTCCCACTTGGCCTCACCTCCCGATGTGTGCTCATGCAAACTTCCTCCGCAAGGAGAACGCGGCCAAAAGAAAAGGGAGTTCTCCAGCAGCAACCCCCCTGGCTCCGAAACGCGCCCGTGGGTGGGTGCTGCCTGGGACGAGCCGCCTCTCTGGCCATGGGTGATAACGGGGCAGGCAGGGCCTGGTGTGTGCTGGAGAGCAAGGCCAGAGATAGGGGAACGCAGCTGCTCCGTGGCCCGGCTTCGGGGTGGAGCTGCTTTTATTTAACTGCTTTTTTTTCCCTTTTATTTGTGGAGCAGATGACAGAAAACTCAAGTGTTTGTCCCCAAATTGATCTCACTGAAGTATCTTCAGTGCTTTTACAGCAAGAGGATGCTCACATTTGTCTTTGAAACGGCTTTTTTGCTGTCTAAATTTGAAGTAAATTGGGATTTTTTTGTAGTTTGTTATGGGGGTTTATTGCAGTTTTTACTTCCCCTCCAGTGGAATATATATATATATATGGGATCAGGAGTGTTTTTGACTTGCTCTTTGGTTTCTTCTAACCCGCCTAAAATCTTTCTGGAAGGCTTTTGTGTAGTCATGCCCTATCATAATTCTTCTAGGAAAATTGTAGAGCCTTGGAAAATGTATTTCCTGTCTAACGCCGATCCTCCTACTCTCAATGAATCACTTGTCCTCTCGTGTTGCTTTGGGCTGGCTTCCCTGTTGACTTCAGCGCCTGGGATTTAATTAGAAATCTGGGGATGTTGTTTGGAGCTGTAAAACTGCATAGGATTCTTCTCTGTGCGGTGGGATTACGGTAATAAGAAATTAAGGAAATGAAATATTTGCATGTTTTAACCGGCCTTGGTGTGAACCGAGGAGTTGCTTCGTGTTTCTGCTTACGCCGCTCTCGCAGGTTTGGTTTAGCTCGTCCTCACCATAAAGCAGCACCCCCTTCCCCTTCCAAACCTCGGGTTTTCCTGGGTATTTTATAGGGGAAAAATAACCCCCAGAAATCCTCCATCGGTGGGAAAATATTCCCCAAATGCATGGGTGACAGAGCTTCCCCAGAGCCCCAAAACCCTCATGTTTGGCTCTTGAATCCCATGAGGCTGACCCTCCTTTGGGGCAAGAAGTGCAGTTTTATTCAGGGTGGGGTATATTTAGGGGCTCTTTTGCATTAACGCTGCTGTTTTGTGGCTGTTGGAGACAGCACCTGCAAAAGGAGCGGTGCTCTGCTTAAAAACATCAACAAAACCCCATGGCTTTGGGGGTTTAATGTCCCCATGGGGACAAAATCTCCCTTAGAGGAGGTCCCTGCTACTGCGGGGTGAGGGAGATCCGGGGTACGCAGCTACAAGGGGGTACAAACCTCCCCTGCCAGCATCATCTGCCCCATCCCTTGTAATTCCCAAAAAAGGAGGAGATCTCCCCCTCAGGTACCATCATGGAGCTGCCCTAATGCAGAGGGGTTGGGATGGGCTCCAGTGAGACCTGGTTTAGGCTCCCCAGTTTAAACTGGAGTTTTCAGCAGCGGCTGAGCAGGCAGCGATCTCTCCACGCTTGAAAAGCTCCCGTAATTTGCGCGTGCAGAAAGAAGCTGTTTTAACGAGCGATGAAACGTCGCGATGGCACGGCAGTTGGACGGGGTGTCAGAGTTGTAGTTTACTTTAAAAATAAATAGGTTGGGATTGTATTTTTTCGAATGCCCATTGCTTGCGTTTACCAGAGGCGATGCTACTTCTGACAAGCCAGTCGGTTAACGTGGGTTTGAAGTGTTTGCGTGGTTTATGCAACACAAAGGTGGGCAGTCAAAGCAAAGCCTGATACCTGTTGGACACTGAACATAGCTTTTCCCATGCTTGCCACTTTACTGGAATACCTTCAGTTTTTGCCTGATTTGTGCCACCTTGCACCCGTCTCACGCTCGCCTCGCGTTGCTCTCTTTGCAGGTTAAAGAACTGGTTCTTGACAACTGTCGGTCGTATGAAGGCAAAATCGAGGGCCTCACAGATGACTTCGAGGAGCTGGAATTCTTAAGTACAATCAACGTAGGCTTAGCCTCAGTTGCAAACTTACCAAAGTTAAACAAACTTAAGAAGGTAAATGAAATATCCCACGTGTATCCCTCCCTCCTCGCACTCTGCCGCACGTGTGAAATGGTTGGTTGCATGTAAATGTGATTTAGCTGGCCAGACTGCTTTGTGTTACGTGTTTGCACTAAAAACTCAAGCTGTTTCTGTGCTTTCCAGCTCGAGCTCAGCGACAACAGAATCTCAGGAGGACTGGAAGTGTTGGCAGAAAAGTGTCCGAACCTCACGCATCTAAATCTAAGCGGCAACAAAATAAAAGATCTCGGTACAATAGAACCTCTGGTAAGTCGATGCTGGACAGGGTGAAATCAGATCCTGTTTTATCATGAGTAGAGGCATTTGGGGCTTGGGAAGTCCAGAGGAGCTTGTGGTGGAGTGCAGGGGGCTCAGCCCTGCCCTGGGGCCGTGCTGGCAGCGTGAGCGGCTGCTTCCCTCTAGCGGCTGCTGCTCCGGGGCTGGGCTGTGGGTCCATGTCCCGCTTGCTCTGCTTCAGCTCCGGGTGTTTTCCTCAAAACGTTGTGTCTGAACCAACCATCCACTGCATTTACCCCATGCTGGGCTTGCTGGCTGCAGCTGAGCTCCCTCCTGCTGCTTTCCATCACCTCTCCTGCTCATTCTGCTGCTTATTTCGAGTGCTGAGGTCAAGTTTGCCAGGTCACGGTTCCAAAAAGCACCCAAAGTCTGTGCTGGTAGTGGTATTTTCTCAATTTTGGGTTGTGTACCCTTTTCTCTCCATCTGCTTTCCCCAGCAGAGGGGGAGAGCAGAGCAGTTAAACTCCTGTAGCAAACAGACGAGCGAGGATTGCAACTGCTCCCACTTTAAGGCTGCTTGTTTTTTTAATGTCACAGCTGCTCTACGCACTGAACTTCGGAAGGGGGATACTTCATAAGACTTTTAATACAAAACCTCAGCTGCTTGTGCTTTTATTGTTAGCACCTCGAGGTGCTGTGGGCAGCACAGACCACCTCCTCCTAAAAAAAAAATACAGTAATTAAAACCAGGAGTTGAATTCTTGTTCCATTTCTAAGCCTTTTTTTCATTTTTCCAAAGGCTTAGGTGCAATCATTACAATTTTTAACGTCTCTCTCAGCAAAATTCTGGTGTCCAAAGAACAGTCTGTTAACTCCTTGCATTGAAGGTTGTAGTTGAAATACACCTGAGTGCTGGCTCCTGTGTCTTGGGCTAAGTGGCCTGGGAAGCTCTTGAGCACATCTCTCTCCGTAGAGAGTTACGGTCACGCTGAGCTTCAGAGACTTCTCTTTCTTTGCAGAAAAAGTTAGAAAACCTGAAGAGTCTAGATCTTTTCAATTGCGAGGTAACCAACTTGAACGATTATAGAGAAAACGTGTTCAAGCTCCTCCCGCAACTCACATACCTCGATGGCTACGACCGGGATGACAAAGAAGCGCCGGACTCTGACGCAGAGGGCTACGTGGAGGGCTTGGACGACGAGGAGGAGGATGAGGATGGTATGTGCATTGTGCTGCTTGGTGTACGTAAGTGAAACGATCGATATGCTGCCTGGTACGTTTTGCTTCCAGCTCTGGCTTGTTGGCAGGAGAAGGGTGTTCTCCGCAGCTCCTTCCTGGCTGATGTAAAGGAGAAGTACCTCAGTGTCCTCTGAAGGAACGAGGGGAAAGCAGATGGGCAGGGCCTGAAAGAGCTACTTTCTCAGTCTTATCTCTAGTGAAAGACCGGGATGACAAAGAAGCGCCGGACTCTGACGCAGAGGGCTATGTGGAGGGCTTAGACGACGAGGAGGAGGATGAAGACGGTATGTGAATTGTGCTACTTGGTGTACGTAAGTCGAAAGACTTATAACGCTGCGTGGTACGGTTTGCTCCTTCTGGCTGGTGTAAAGGAGTAGTTCCTCTCAGAGAGTAGATGGGCAGGGCCAGAAGGAGCTGCTGTCTCAGCCTTATCTCTAGTGAAAGGTGGGGAGTGAAAGGGTGATAGAAGAAAGGGGCCAGGAGGAGGAGTAAGGCACTGAGAGGCCAGGGAGCGGTAAATAAACCCCAGGGGATGAGGGAGAAACGCTGAGAAAGGGTGACTTGCACGCTGCAGGTCTCCAGGAGCAGATCAGGGCGGTATCAGCAGTTGTGGAGACCCCGATGGAGAGGGGTAGGGTGAAGAACCACGTTGGGCTGAGTCAAGGAACGGAGTAAAGGAGCTGAGGCTTGAGGTAGGAGTTTGTAGGTGCTCTGTGAGGACAAAAAGAGCCGGTTGGGATCAGAAGAGAGCAGGACGTGTTGAAGTGTGCCCGGGGCGAGCTCTGGGAAGGCCGCTCACGAAGCAGCGCACGACTGTTGAACATTAGGAGGACGCACGGTGGGTCCCGCTGGGCCGTGGGTGCCGTGGGGCGGTCGGATGAGTATCCGGCTGTGCCGGGGAATGTGCTGGACTCTTCAAACCACGGAAAAGCTGGACTTGCACTTTTTCCCCGCGCTGGATGCGAGCCATGGGGGGCGAGGGGCAAGCGGGGCACTCAGCCAGGTCCCATCGCAGCACGAGCCTGGGCCTGCCTTCAAATGCATGAAATAAAGCTCCAAAACACCGATTCCTGCAGCATGGAAAAGCAGTCACTGGTTTGTTGCTTGGGCATGTTGCATTTAATCTCTTTCCTCTTGAAAAGAGGTTGCAGACCCTTAAAAGGGATTGAATGTGACCCTTTTGTGTTGCTCTGGCAGGGAAGGGGTGTCCCTTAAGGGGGGTTCACAGTTCCTAGAGCAGCTCAGGCCATGGGTGCAGGTGCCACCCTACCCCGTCGCTAAACTAAAGGGGCACAGGGCTACATCTAACCCTGTGTGTCAGCTGGAGAGCTGCCTTTAATTCCATACTGCCCTTAAGCGACGCTTTGGGGTTGCTTCTGGTGTCGTTAGGAGGTCACAGCTCAGGTGGCAGCGTTGGGAAAAAGGTGAATTTTAAATGTCTGAGGGGTTAATGTTGTTTGTACAGAAGAGGAGTACGATGATGACGCTCAGGTAGTAGAAGACGAAGAGGACGAGGAGGAAGAGGAGGAAGGAGAAGAGGAGGATGTGAGCGGAGAAGAGGAGGTAAGGACTTATGCAGTTAATGGGCGTGAGTGTTCTCTAACTGGGAGTAGCTGGGCAAGAAACACACCAAATTTTGAAGGCTTTCAGTCCTTTTTTTATCTGAGAAGCACCACGGGGGCTGGCTTTGAGGCGAGCCTGTCTATGAGCCAGCTGCCATCTAGTGACCACTGCCATGAAATAATTCGGTTTATTCGCCTGGTGGCGAAAATACCATCAGGAAACCTGGTCCGTGGTGCCTTTGGAGGGCTGGCTTACAGCACAGACCCAGGTTGGGACCTGAATTACTGACCCCGTGCTCTCAAAACAAGGCTCCTCCTTGGGCACGCACCCCGTGATGCTTAAATTTTTGGCATAGTCCTAAAATTTTTACTGCAGCCAAAAAACTGCACTTACATAAGCGCGTGGGAAGCGTCCGCCTTTTCTGTTTGGCTTTTCAGGCACTTCAAGGACTTTTCCTCTGTTGTAAAACACTGTTGGGTGTTACCAGATAGCAAGAACTCCTGCACTGAAACCAGCTTTGTTAATGCTTTGGTTTTTTCCTTAACGCAGGAGGATGAGGAAGGCTACAACGATGGGGAGGTAGATGACGACGAGGATGAAGAAGAGCCCGGTATGGCATTAATCCATTTTTTTGCTAAAGTTAAAATAATAACAGTTAAAATAATAACAGTATTTTATTAGAAAGGTACAGTACCGTTTCCTACGAAGCCAGGCTCGTGTCTGTGTTCCTGCCCCTCTGGTAGGGAGCCAGGTGCCGAAGCAGGAGCCTGCAGAACTTGTGCGGCGTCTCGGCCCTGCGAGGGAGCACCCGCGTAACTCACACTGTGTTTTATTTTCTAGAGGAGGAACGGGGACAGAAGAGGAAACGAGAACCTGAAGACGAAGGGGATGAAGATGACTAAACTGAATAACCTATTTTGAAATTTTCCTATTGTGATTTGACTGTTTTTACCCCGTATTCCCCTCCCCGCACCCCCAACCTTTTTTTTTCTTTTATTTTTTTCCTTTATTTTTGTTTTTTTTTGTTTTTTTGTTTTTTTCTGATTGTAATGTTGCTGTGGGAACGAGAGGGAGAAGCAGACTGGGTGGGCAAGGGAATAAAATACTATTTTTACTGCCACTCCTCCTCCTTATTCATTTGAAATAGTTTTCTTTTCGTCCCTCTCTCAGTCCCTGTAACTGCAATAGTAAGTATAAACCAAGTGGTAATTTGTTTCTTATTATTGGAGTGGATGGTTTCACAACTTATAATGAGGTAAAAAGGTGTGAGGATCGGTGACGAAACCCCAAATTCACCAATTCCTGTTGGTCGTTGGGTTTTCCCACCGCTGCCGGTCGCTAAACCCACAGTGAAGCGTTTTTTTTGGGAGGATGCTGCGAATGCCGAAAAAAAAAATCCCGAGCATCGCCCCACAGCAACGGGGCTGAGAGGACCCGGTGGTTTGGTCGCTGCCTGTTCCCCAATGACTGCCATTTTCAGGCACTGCTTTCCCTGCTTTTCGAGGTACTTTCTTTTGCTGTTTGTAAATAGTGACCAAACATTTTTGTTGGAGTTATTATTTTTTGGGGGGAGGGGGGGGTGTTCCTTTGGATCTGGTTTGTGGGGTGAATTTGCAATCCCTT